CAGCCTTGGTTTAAAATGAACTGATTTTTTAAAACAAAATGTTACATTGTATACATGCATGTTGCTTATAGGTATTTAATAGTATTTAAACAGCAAATCAAACACTTCATCACTTCATTATTTGATAAGCATGTGCTACATGTAACATACGAATATCAGGCTTCTAATTATTTCAAACACGGGTGTGCGTGTGTGTTTGTGTGTTTCTTTTTTGAAAACTCGACAATTTTGATAAGTGACCTGAATCTCTTATGTTAAATCATATATCAATATAACTATAGTAAACCTAAACCTACCAGTCTATATGTCAATTATCACTTCGTTTTAGTACTTTTAAATCATATCTACTATCAAAGCGTAAGATAACTCTTTTTTATATGAGAAGCAGTAATAAAACATTTTATTATACCAAGCGCGTCAATACATATAACATTTCCTACAAATGTGTGTTCTTTCTCGTCAACGCAATCAATTCTACAAAAGAAACGAAACAAAAAAACGACAAAAAGAATTTTAAGACAAAGATTAACAGTTTCTTTTGTCAAAAAATTAAATCCGCTTTCAAAGAGATTGTCTTGCATACACAATTTTTGTTTCAAGTTTTGAATTGTTAATCACATGCGTCGTAAAGTTGTTGTCTGCAAACACAGTTTTATATTTTTTGCAATACTTTCAAATGCAAGAAAAAGATCTATTGAAACTATATTTTCATCAATATATATAATAACCTTTGTCTGAATATTATTTTTTTTGACAACCCTTTAGACATACAGACATTTTGAGTTCTGTTAACATACAAATTATACCTAAGGAGCCTTGCAAAAGTTATTTATAGTTTTTTTATGTGAAACTTTCATACACGTGATAGCAACTTCGAAATGTCCCAATACAACTCTAATTAAACTTTTTAATATCTAAAATTATTTATTAATCTTTAGAAAGTTTCTGTTGTTCATGATTCATTTGTAGCCATCAGCTTGCCCTTGCAATCATATATTTCTTTGAATTGATCCATTTTAACGTGAACTAAGATTTTTTTGATATTGCTGACCACATAAAACGTATATTATTAAGTGTTAAATATTATTGAGACGAATAGCAAAGAATTTTTGTTTTAAGTTTCCTTTTTTCAAAATTCAAAAACAAAATATAGCAGATATATAGCTTCATACGCTTAAAATATGATCCAAATAACTATGAAAATATTTTAACATGACAAATATATTAGAAAGGAGAAAACAAGGCTCAAGTACATTTCTAGAATTTCAATAAAACGCAACAACAAGTATAAAATCACTGCTTTAAGCACAAATCAGAACAGCTCACCTTAACATAATATAATCATTTTGATCGCTCAAATAGGTGACAAGCGATACCATTTATTAACAACAAAACAATTATGCACTTTAAATAACAACAAAATGGAATGTGCATTATAAAAGTACTATGTTTCGTCTCATCTCTAATAACAGAACATGTTCGGCGAAGCGACATTTTTCCGTGAAGATTTGTAATAGTTATAGTGTACGAAACGAGTTAGTTACTAGTATAAACACTGACTTGGGCGACATCAAGGATGGTTCCGCTAAAAAAAATGGCTAGGCCGTAAGGCCGAGACGGATTTTTGCAAAAAAAATCCCGAGATGTCGCCCCAACCAGTGTTATACCCCCGTAACTAACGAGTTTCATATTTTATAACTGTTTTATCGCAATTTCATAAATTTGGTTTGTAATAGAAATCAGCACAACAAAATGTTATTACTTCCGTTATCATATCATATTAATGTGTCTGATTCAGTGTCAATAATATGAATAAACTCAAAGCAACCTCAATTCTACGCAAAGGAAGACCTTTACACTTCTGTACTCAAACTGTACGACTTTTTGCCACGGATATAATACAGACATATAGTTTGAGAAAGGTTACTTAAAATTCAAGCTGAAAAAAATACATTTTACACGTAATCATAATGTCAGTTGTTTACTAAATTGAATTTTCGTATTGTTTATGGCATTAATCTAATATCTGTACGACATTATAAATCTAATAAACACATAATTTATTATCTGTTAGATTTGAGTTTGACGTGAACAAGTCTTCACCTCCTATTATTATTATCATTATTTTATGGCTATATGTGGTTATATCTGAGCGGTCTTTCCACTAATCCTTTTTCTCCGATAGCAAATCAGTAGTTATCAATATCTCTGCATGATTTCTACATTTCGGCTAGTCAAAAACCATTAAATTCATTATCTGAGAACAAAAATAAAAAACTTCACGAAAAAGTTGGCTTCACTGATCAAAATGTTCTTGTATTAGAGATGAGACGAAACATTGAAATTTTATAGTAACAAATTTTATTTTGATGTTTTATAAAGAACATTATGTTTGATTGAAAGCTTTCAAATTCATTTTTGTTGTTCATAAATGGTATCACTTATCCTCTGTTTGAGCGATCAAAATGATTATATTATGTTAAGGTGATCTGTTTTGGTTTGTGCTTAAAGCGGGATTGTATTTGTAGAGTGAATAGAAAAACCACATAATCATTGCTAAATGGTGAAAACCCCAGTAGACGTAATAAAGCAATATTTGTTCCGGATCATTTAATTCGCTTTACTTAAATATATTTATGTGCCACAAACCAGTCATATTCTATGCAACAACGCTTTAAAGAAATTAGAATTGGCCAAATTTATCATGGCAAAACCATGACTTTACTTTTTATAATCAAAATATTAAAAATATCACAAGAAATTGCTAATGAAGAAACATAAGAGTCAGCTAAATTATGGAAAGACTTATAGATGACCTTGTACTTTGTCCAGTGTCTGATGCATGACCTTCATTAAAGTTAGTTTCTAATTGTATTTAATTGCAACATACATTGATTTAGTTTTACATGATCAATAGTATTAGAAATCTGGAAGAGAGAGATCTCTCGGAAGAACCAAAACACAGCAAAATTATATAAAAATTTCAAACTTTGTTTGATTACAGATAATGAAATGTTCAATATTAATATAACTCGCGCGTCCTAGCACCGGCATGAACAGTATTCAGTTTTCTACTGATATCCGTATTTATAAACTGAAAGTCTGATTTTAATTGTTATCTTTTCTCAAAAGCGTATTTCCATAAATTTTTACATTGTAAGACGAAGCTAATGCCCGAATGTCCTGGATACTGAATGATGGAAACGTGGATTTGACAGTCATGTGTTCAGCTGTAAATACTTAGTTACTGATACATTCCTTATCATGACACATAATAATTAATAAAAAAATATTATTCTAAGTCAAAGGTATGTTAGCTCTTGAGAGACATAATTATTTAAAATCAGCCTTGTAGAGAACATAGACGTTTAGCTGTTATTCTTATTATGTAAAGCTTAGTTTCTGAGTAAAAATGATTTTCAGAACAACTTATTTATTATTGCTTACAAACATTTTGTTGTTTCAGCCCATACTTTTCATGAGCAAGTCCCGTTATGGGAATAAAGCTACAGTCTCACTTACATCCCGGCAGAGCCCCGGAACGATATGGGTACGACCGGGAACAACCGGGGTACATCCGTGACTCTGCCGGCAACGTCCTGGATGATCCGGAAACATCCGGCATTCGACCCCGGATGGAATAAAATATTTAATATCACCCGGGTGGTCCGGGATGATCCGGGAAGGTACAGCTTTGCCAGCTTCATCCTTAGCTCTGCCGGGAACGACCGGGGTTATACCGGGAAAGCATCGTAGCTCTGCCGGCACAAACCGGGGATGATCCGGTGTATGATATAGCCGGTAGAGCTACGGTAGAGCCCCGGTATATGCCGGCAGAGCCCCGGTAATTACAAGCAGAGCCCCGGAGGATAAAGGTAGAGCTACGGTTGATCCTGGTAGAGCCCCGGCAAAGCACGGATCATTTCAAAAGAATAAGGACAATTTGCGATGATTGAACTTGTTTGTATTAAGACCCTTCCCATTTCCCTTCTATCCAGTATGGCATAAGGATTTTTCAGAAAATCATCATGAAATACTATTCTGGAACAATAGATATTATATTGAATAAAAATTATGCATCAAAGTTATCATTTTCGGGCGTTTTCAATCCACTGGGGTTCTACCGGGGCTCTTCCTGGATCGTCCTGGGCTCTGCCGGGGCTCTGCCTGGTTCAACCGGGACTCTTCCGGCGTCATCCGGGAACGACCGGGGAAGCACCGGCATGAAAAATAGCTTCACCTGGGCTCTGCCTGGATGATCCGGAGCGCATCCTGGGTGGTTAGTATGGAACTACTGTAGTGCTGCCGGGGTAAGTGTGACCGCAACAATAATTTCATCCCGGATCGTCCCGGATCATTCCGGTAACTAACTGGGCTCTGCCGGGAGTAAGTGAGATCGAGGCTTAAAATTGCGAAGGGTATTGTTAGTCATAGGCAGTGTACAACGTGCACATGATGGAGACGAAACAGACCAGAGTAGAAAGTCCGAGAATAAGATGTGAACTTAAAAAGACAACATAGTCAGGAAGTGAAACAGTTGCAATCAACAAAAAGAAAGAATTATCTTGAAACAAGAGCGAGCTGTTACCCAGTAATAAAATGATACATTAAAAGGAGTCTCCTATTAATCTGGTAAATATATTTTCCCTCACATGATAATTAATTTTGAATGGCTACCGGATGTTCGGAAAATTATGATATTTCTTCCATGATTTTTAAAATGAGGTCTTGTTTGACATACTTGAAATAAATTGAGTGTGTTTGTGACCATAGTAATTATAACACTCTCTGCTCTTTTCGTTTATGTGTATTCATTGTTTGTTGGCAGGAATTGGTCATGATGAAGAGGTGGATATTGAACAACTGCAAGATTCTATTCAAATGGGAGTATTCAAGCAAGTTATACCACATGGACCACAGACTTACATTGTATACTCTTTGCTGGTATTCTCGCGTTAAATCTATTCTCGCGTTATTTTTATTTTTCACGAGGTTAAATCACAGCGCCACCTATAGTAAATATTTGTGACCTACTTTTATTCAGCAGTGTTTTGAGTAACATTTTACAGTAATGAACCGACTAAAGGTAAGTAAATCACAAATTTTACCTTGTAAATGCAAAACTTTAACTAAATCATTCACAAAAATGTCTATTCTTTGGTAACTTTCCTCCATTTTAAGATTGACATCTTCCGTCTGCTGACAGGACTCCATTTGTTGTTGTTGTTGTTGCCTAAAACTTCAAAACCTATACCATACCATAGATTTTTTTGTTGTTATTTTTCAGGGGTCCCAAAGCAGGCTTAAGCAGCCATATGACAAGGAAAGCCTTAAGAGAGCCTATGCAGCTTGTGTTTCAAATGGCATGTCTGTTTATCGGGCATCTAGAGTGTACCATGTCCCGGAGTCTACTTTGAGAGACAGGACTAGACATAATGTCACCCTTGAGGCACGTCCTGGACCAGAGACTCTATTGTCTTCTCTGGAGGAGGACAAGTTAGCACATCATATAAAGTATATGGCCAGTATCGGATATGGCTACACCATGACCAACGTAAGATTTATGGCTGCTGACTATGCCAGGTCAATGGGGAAGAAAGTTGTTGCAAAGGATGGTTTAAGTACTGTGCGGTACTATAGTTTCATGAAAAGAAACCCAGACTTGAAAGCTGTCAAGCCTCAAAAGCTTGATTTGGCCAGAGCTAAAGGTGCCTCTGAAGAAAAAATAAACAACTATTTCAAAAAACTGAAGAATATTCTAGATGACAATGACTTAATCAATTCACCTGAAAGAATCTATAATATAGATGAAACAGGAGTAAGCACCCAGCACTCACCACCTAAAATAGTTTGTGGGAAAAATGATAAACCTCAGGCAATTACCTCCCCAAGATCTTCCAATGTAACAATAATAGGAGGAGCAAATGCCCTTGGAAATCATGTGCCTCCTTTTTATATATTCTCTGGGAAAAAGGTTTAATTCTCAGTTCATGGAAGGTGCTCAACCTGGTGCAGATGGTACAATGTCGGATAGTGGTTGGGTGAATGGTGAAATTTTTGAAGATTACGTCACGAGACATCTTGCGAAGCACTGCAACCTTGATTCTGTCTCTTCAGATAGACCAGCCACATTGATCCTGTATGATGGGCACAAAAGTCATTTATCGTTGACTTTGAATGAGTGGGCTAGACAGAGGAATGTGGTCCTCTTTGTACTTCCCCCACATACCAGTCATCTCACGCAACCACTGGATGTTGGTGTTTATGGCCCATTCAAAGCCTTCTACTACACTGAGTGTCAACAGTATTTGCAGCATAACCCGGGTGTATACATTACCAAATATGAAATTGCTTCACTAACTTCTAAGCCTTACTTGAAAGCTTTCTCTCCATCAAACATCACATCAGCTTTCAAAAAATCAGGAATATATCCATTTGATGAGTCTCAAATTTCCAAGAGTGACACTGCACCTTCATCAATTTATTCCAGTGAAAATCATGATCAGTGCCAGGGACTGGATACACAAGTTGAATCAACCGAAAAGGCACCACAGCAACCAGAAGAGCCCTCTGACTCGCAAGAAACCATTTTGTATGATGAATCTGTCACTTTCTTTGCAAAGAGACAAATTAACACTGTCAAACAAAGACCTAAGAAAAAATTTATTCCACCATACATAATGGGAAATCTGTTAAATGAAAGAAATACACATGTTCTGCAAAATCAAAGGAAGTCTAAGGGTGCCAAATCTGAGAAAACTGTTCAAAATAGACAAAAAAATCCCATACAAACACCGTCTAAGAAGCAGAGGAAGAGTAAGGAACATGAAGAACCAGTTCCTAGCACATCTGGAACATCTAAGACAGGGGTACCTATATCTTTGGACTCTCCATCACATATGTCAGACAGTGATACTGATATTGAGATAGAGGAGAGAGACAAATGTTGTGTCTGCAAGCTCTACACACCCACTCAACTCAAGCATTGTGTTAGTATTGTCTTCACAAAGTGGGCTCAGTGTAATTTTTGCTCTCATTGGGTACATCTTAGATTTTGTACACCAATTACAGTAGTAAGAAGGGCTACTGTGTTCAGATGCCCACATTGTGTAACTGAAGAATAACTCTTGTGACAGGAAATATTACAAATCAACTTACCTTGTGCTCAGACAAATTTGATTATAGACATGTTTTTGCATTAATTATAAAGTCACACTTGTTGAAACTTTTAGTACAGTTATTGTTCAGTTAATTGCATTAGGTAGTTTACACATCTTTGACTTGCTGAAAGCCTACTGTATGGTATAGATTTTTACCGCGAGAATATAAATAACTTCTATTCAAAGGTCAAGGTCAGGGTACCTGTTTATAAAATGGCGGAAAATAAAATTGAAATGTTTTATATCGATTTTTTTCATGTAAATAAATCAATTATTGGTTAACTTGGATGAAGAAAAGGAAAGAACAACAAGGTAAATATTTTGTTTGTCATTATATGACTTTATTTCCTTAGTACCGCGAGAATACCTGCAAACAGGGTATCTGGTCTGGAAACCACTGTTCTACGTAGGTGACATTCTTTTAGCCTATAAATATACCAAATCAGATGGAGCATAGGTCTGTAAAGCAATAAATCCTGAGTTATAGCCTTACTAGGCATAAGTTTTTATTTGGAAAAGTAGAAATGTACAAAGTACTGGTAAATACTCCAATTGCATTTACCCTAGGTAAAGAAACAGAAATAGTTTGGCCAGCAGGTGCTGCCAAGCTTGCATTTGTTCCTCGCTCATTCATTTGATGTTTAATAGTTTTAAGCTGCATGAGAATTACAAACTTGCGATTTTAAGCAAATGATGAGGTATTGAACAATGTTTGGAATGTGTATATTTTTCAGATAACTATTTATGCAAGGCTGAAATTTTGTTTCAATTTGCAAAATGAATTATGTCTTCCAATGTTTTTGCCTTCACCATCCGTCCGCATAAAGCTTGTCCCTCCGCATAAAGCTTGTTCGGCTTTCACAGGTCTAACAGATAGTAGGATTGCAACGAAACGTCACAAGCTTGATCAACCAGCTCTTAAAGTGCATAATTGGAAGACATATATTTTGTGACAAAAAATCCAAACTTCTAGTTCTTTGGTATTTGTTATGTTAAAAAAGAATACTTGAAGTACTGTGAACATGGATAGAAAACTGATCTAATTAGTTTTATTCAATGGTAATTGTTAAATGTTTTACTGCCAAAAAATAGTGAAAGCCAACGTCGACTAAAAAACGCAAAGGGGACTCTAGAGTCTTTGGTGCCTAAACCTGCCGCTTACTTTGTAAATCAACTGCTCTTACTGTTGAACTATGTAGACAGTTTAAAGAGGAATAAGTCTCATTATGTTCACATATATCGTTAAAAGACTTTTAGAATATCCTTAAAATAGTGTTTAGTTCCTGAGAATGAATAAATGAAAGGCATTTGTTGAACTATTTTTCAAACTGCTGAAACATCTTGCCATTTTATGTCTAGTTATTTTGCTATGATTTTCTAAAGGGTTTGATAATAAAGCAAACACATATAATATATAATGTTTTACACTAATGTTTTATGAATGTATATTTCAGACATGCTCTACATATTTTTGGATTGTGTAATCTATTTGCAAGAATTATTTTTATTTTTCATGTTTGGTGTACTCAACCTAGATAATTTTTGAAAACATGTTAATCAAAACTAGACTACACGAGTTATTTACTACAATATGGTAAACAAGATCAACAAGGAAAGGCGGCGTTCAATGAACGGAACGCAAAACTTTCATAACATTGATGTCATTATTTGTTAAATGTCAGACCTGTGTTTTGTATGGATGACATATGAATAAATGTTATTTTAAAAAATAGTGAAATGTCAGCGAGTGGGATATAGGCTCATTGTTAAATTTTTAGTGTTATAAATAATATTTCAATCCTTTAAAGGAAGTTTGATCACAATAGTTTAGCTAAAACATATGGTATTAAATGTTCCACTTTGTAACATTAATTTATGATGAAAGCAATCTAGTTATGTTTACATTATGTATTTTGCGACATTGTTCAGATTTTTCATGTGCCAACCAGTCAGCGGGAATGGAATTAAATATTTTGGAGATTAATTTTCACTTTTAAGTAGGTCTAGACTCTAGGTCAATCACTTATGTGCAAAAGTGCCGATCATTGGCTCATTCAATTTTTTTAAAATAATTATTCTGTAAAAATGTCCAAACAATGAAAAGCTTTGCAACGCTTTTATCTCAGATCGGGCTATATACAAATCATCAATTTCAATTTATTTTCGAGTATATTTCTAACTTATGATAGTCTTTTGCAAATTTTACTGTTATAAGTAAGTGTCCCATCTGATGTTTGTAAGAAATTCTAATTCTATGTTTTTGGACATAACTGGAGTTTCTTTAAAGTTAACATTTTTTACCATAAAATGATAATGAAAGCATGGGACACATTCTGTCCTAATAGGTAAATCAATTGTGAATGATTATTCAACACTTGGCGGCTATAACAAAAAGAAGTTATGTACCACTAACACAAGCCTTTGAAATATTGTAATGATCATTTAAATAGGTGCCAGTTCTCATTTTTATTCAATAATTACCATACTTTTAAAGTTCCGATGTTAATTATTGATAGTAGAGTATAAGGTTCCTTTTAACTGTCTGTTTTAGATGTTTATTAAATCTTTTAATGTCGTACTCTTTATAGAGCAAACGCTAATTATTGATGATAAAGTATCAGGTATTTTTCCGCTGTCAATAATGGAAGTCTATTTTAGATGATTACTAACTCTCTTAACTCTTTAAAGTTCCAATGTTAGTTAATAATAATAGACTATAATTTCAGCGTTAATTATTTATAATAGAGTATCAGGTACTTTTTCACAGTCAATATTGATAGTCTATTTTAGATGTTTGGTTCAGCTCTTTAACTGTTTCAGGTTATGCATGTCATTATAGAACAAGAACTGTCACAGAATGTTATAAATGCCCCCGAGGGATTCTAGTTATAAACCACCTATTACATGTTACGTGTGGTTGTACAAATTGACAATGTTCGAACCCCAGCAGTGACATTTAAGTTAAATAAAGAAACCTCGGTCTTTTTTACAATATTTGTAAGTATAAATTGAAACTTTCATGAATACAAAAGTTACAAAGCGGACACAACAACCACCGTTTAAATGTAAATTTATTACATAAATATTGAACAAGTTTAAACCCCAGCAGTGACCTTGAACTAAGGATAAGGAACACGGGTCTTAAGGGCAACACAGCATAAATTTATGATAATTTCAAATGAGAAATACAAAATATAATAACGTGCCACACTGAAGGTTCCATGATAACCGCCACATGTACACATCTGCGGATGTTTTAAAATTCCAAATTGTACCAGTTTATGTTAAATGTTGTATACTGCTTAAGCCGGTGCTTTGGGGCGTGGACGGTACTTTGAACTTACCAGAACCGTCCATGAAATGCCCAATCATATAGAGCCTTCACATTTTCAATTTTGCCGTGTTGGGCTTTTTCTAGGGATTCTTATTTGTCTCTTTTATATAACTGCCACTCAAGCTTTATATTTGATCCATGATCTCATAATTATTGACATTTTAAAATACAATAGAATATAGACTTACCAATATATGGTATTGACTGTTTTCCCCACATTACAACAAACCTCTTTTCACACATGTGATATCAGTGTAGATTGCTGCAAAGTTAAAATATCAATAAAGTGTACAGACAGAATATAAGAATCTTACACCGGCTGCCGGTACAGACCGGAATATCTAGCTCGAGGGTAACTGTTTACGGCGGTAACGAGGCTCTGCCGAGTTTCCGCTAAACAGTTACCCGAGAGCTAGATATTCCCGTCTGTACCAACAGCCGGTGTTTGATTCTTTTTCTTGCATATTACATGTCAATTATTTAGGA